GAATTATACCCTTTATTTCATAATGTCTATATTCTTTCCACCAAAACAAATCACTTCACATTTCCCTTAGTGAATTTCATGTGCAACTTGACAGCCCATTTCACCAACTTGTCGATGTGATTTTGAAGTTTTACACTATCCTCCTAAGTTCAAAATGCTTCCAAATTCTATATCATCTGTAACTGTTGACTTTATGTCCTGACTCCAAGCTCTGGGTCACTATATAGACCAGCAAAAGCAAGTGTCCCAGCCGTGCCCCTTGGGGAACTCCACTAGAAAGCTTCCTCCAGTCTGAAACACTGAACATTACTCTCATGTCTCTCATTTAGCTAATTTCATATTCATGTTGCTTCTATCCCTTTTATTCCATATGCCACTTAACAAATGCATGCTGGCGTTCCTTAATCAACACACTTGCTCAAGTCCTGATTAATTTTGTATCCTGAATGATTTTTTTCTCGAAGCTCCCTTACAATTGAAGTTAAAGTGATTAGAATGTAGTTTCTGGATTTATCTTTACACCATTTTTTGAGCAAGGGTGCAATATTTGTAGTACTTCAGTTCTCGAGCATCCACCTGCCATCCCCTACCCCAAAATCTTAGGAATACTGAACAATCATATTCAGTGCCTCCACAATTTTCCACACTCATTTCTCACAGTATTAATACATCTCATTTGGTTCTAGTGTCAAATCCAAAATCTTCTACTAATTGATTTTAAACCCTGAATTATCTCCTGTTTCACCATGACCTTTGCAGTATCTGCTTCCTACATTAAGGACAGATGCAAAACATTTATTTAATACCTTGGCTACAGCCTGCCTCCAGGCTTTTTTGGTCCCAAACCAGCCTCACTCATCCTTTCACCTCCCTTTTATCAATTATGTAGCTAAAGAAAACTTTGGGATTCGCTTTTATGTTACTCTCCAGTCTCTTTTCGCACTGTCTCTTATCATCTCTAGTTTGCTTTTTTCAATTCCCCCTAGCCAGACAGGTTCTGCCCTCGATTCCTCTGGAACAATCTCTCTCCAGCACTGCAAATTCTTGATGATCAGTACCACCAACCAACACCTTTCTTCCTTTAATTCTTTGTTTCCTGAGCAATTGGCAACGCGCAATAACCTTATGGATGGATCTTATAAGAACATTTATTAAAAATCAGGAGAAGATTATTCATACCCGAAGGCTGCCCCACCATTCTATAAGATCATAAATGATCTACCCAGGTTTCAACTGCTCTTTCATGCAAGCTCCTCATAGCACTCAACTCTTCAATGCCACAAAAAAATCTATCTACTTCTTTTCATTCTTTCAGCAATCAAGCCTCTACAACTACTTGCTGTAGGGATTTCCCATCACTCACTACCCTCTAAGAGAAGAAATTCCTTTGTATCTCAGTTTTAAATGAGTGCATCTTACTCTATAACTATGTTCCCTACGTCAAAATTCCCCTGCTAGTGGGCAAATTGTCTCACCATCTACCCTGTCAAGATCCCTCAGAATCTTGTATACTTCAATAAGATCACTTTTCATTGCTCTAAACACTAATGAACAAAGATCTAATCTGTTTAGCCGGTCTTAATAAGTCAACCCTTTCATCCCAGGAAACAGTCTGGTGAATCTTTTTTGAACTGCCTTCGATATCCTTTCTTAAATGTGGGATCAAAATTGTACAACACTCCAGACGCAGCCTTACCAACAAGACTTGCAAAAAGACTTTCTATTTTTAAACTTCAACCCTCTAACAATAAAGGCTTAAAATTCCATTTGTCGTCTTAATTACTTGCTACATTTGTATACTAACTTTTTGTGTTTCATGCATAAGAACACCCAGATCCTTCTGCGCTGCACGTTTTTGGAGTCTCTCTTCATTTAAATAATAGTTTACTTTTTGATTCTTTCTATCAAAGTGCATGACTTCATATTTTCCTATCTTAAATTCCATCTGCCAAATTTTGGCCCACTCACTCAACCTATCTAAATCCCCTTCAACATTTATTATGTCCTCATCACATAATGCCCTCCCAGCTACTTTTATATCATCAGAAAATTTGGATACATTACACTCTGCTCTTTTCTCTACGTCATAATATACATAGTAAATAATTGAGGAACTGATCCTTGTGGCATCCATTAGTTACGTCTTTCCAACCAGAAAAAGACCTGTAATCCCATCCATCTGTCTTCTGTGTTTAAACTACTCCTGAATCATGCTAATACATTAACCCAACATGCTGAGCTCCTATTTTGTGCAATAACTTTTTATGTGGCATCTTATTGAATGCTTTCTGGAATCCAAATACATAACATCTGCAAACATAATTCCCTTTTACAAAACCATGTTGACTCTTTCGTATTAAGCTTTTCTAAATGCCATGCTATTTCTTCCTCAATAATAAATTCTAGCATTTTCTAACAACAGATGTTAGTCTGTCAGGCCTTGCTGACTATGCTCCCACATTAATAATAGCTAGCTGGATGAGGAGGTAAAAGGTTACTGATACCATGTGAAATCATGTGCAACATGTCAGGGCATTCAAGGGGTAGAAGAGAAAAAAATTAATTAAAAAATCCAAATATATGAATTAGCAGCCTTTCCTTTGATAGCCTTTTAACCCTTCAAGCCTGCTCCGTCATTCAGTAAGATCATGGCTAGTCTGTTAGTGTTCTGAATTTCATATTCACATTTATCTTTGATAACATTTGATTCCTCTGCCTAACAAGACTCTATCTACCTCCACCTTAAAGATATTTAATGATCATGCCTCCACTACCTTTTCCACTCTCAATGTTTTTTTTATTCTTCCTGCCAAAGTGAACAACTTTACAGTTTCCAGTGCAGTACTCTATTTGCTCGATTTGGCCCACTCACTTATGTATGCATCCTTTTACCATCTTCACAACACACTTTCCAAATTGTGTTTGTTTCGTCTGCACATTTGGCCACCATGCCTACAATCCCCACATCTAAGTCATTGATATAAATTGTAAAAAGTTAATGGCCAAGCACAGATGCTGGGGGCACCTACTTGTCACATGTTACCAATGTGAACCAGACCCATTTTGCATAATCCTGTTTTCTGTCAGCCTATCAATCTTCCTCCTCGCTAGTATGTTACCCTGTATCATGAGTTCCTACTTCGCACAATAACCTTCTTTGTGGAATTTTTTCAAATTCCTTCTAGAAAGCCAAATACAATACATCAGCAGGCTCTCCACTATTCACAGAGCATGCTACTCCTTCAAAGAACAGGGTCCTCTCCTTTACCTAGTCATGCTGACTCTTCACAATCAGTTTTTCCTAAGTGATGACCTCCTTAATGATTGATTCTAAAAGCTTACCCACAACAGATGTAAAGCTTAACCATCCTATTGTTTCCTGCTGACTGTGCAACTCCCTTCCTGGATAGAGTGGTTATATTTAGTTTTTTTCATTCCATTGGAATTCTTCCAGAATCTAATGAATTTTGGAAATGAACTCATACCATAACTAAATGAATAATATTTTAAGAAGTATGTAGAGCTTCAATGCATTGGTAAAAAGTTTTTAATATGTATGTTTGTGGAAACTAAAGTGACAAGGCAGGAGTTTGGGGGATTAAATCTCTGAGACAGCAAGATCTTTTTTGCCAGTTTGAAAATGTGCAAGTTTCAAAAGACAGTGAATACACAAAAGTGTTAGTCTGCATCATGTATTAATCTGCAGAGATGTTTTGGTGCTTTTTAACTTCAATACTTGATGATAAAGTGCATGCACACTCAGCCCTCTCTGCAATTGCCTGCTCATGCAGTTTCTTCCACCATGGTGGCTGCAAGCCAACTTAGTGCCAGAATAGATTAATACTGCGACATTAACCAAGTAGTTGAAATGTCAATTGTCAGGCTTTAAAGTATATTTTTCTTCTTGTTATATGGAATTTAACATGCGGAAAGCCAAAGATCACGAAGCAAGCTTTCTTTACTCCATTGGCATCAGGCCATTACAAGCAGGAAGGCAACTTAGGGATAAACAATAATCTATTTACAATATGTACATGGAATAAGTCTATGTGTTACACTGGGCTAGGCCTTTGTCTCTCTGCTCCCCCTTTCCATCAGCCTTCCATCCATCAACAACACTCTTTTTCCTAGTGGGAGTCTATTCAACTGCTCTAGTGCCTTCCTCACTGACCCCACCGGCTTGTTGAGGTCCCGGCACACAGCACAGCTCCCTTGATCATCACTTGCTGCTCAAGGTCTAGTTGCAATCTGATTTATTGGGTATTTGTTAGAAAATCAGTTCCTGCTACTTTAACAACATAATTACATGAGCATGATATCTCTGAAAGTCTGGGTTTGATAATAAGAGTGAATTAATATCAATGTTTTAACCATTTTCCAAGCACTGAGCTTGCACGTAAAGATATTTCATGACAAATAGTTAATGTGGCTGGTCATGGTGTGATAAGCTTTATAAAATCAGTAACAAGTTGAGAAGGTGATGTGCAGTGATTCATGAAATGCATGAAATGCTTAACTTAGTTGATAGATAACGGGACTCTTACTCTTAACATCATGGTTTTAAGCCCTGCATTGCAACACTGATTTTTTTTAAGATATTTTGTTCAAAATGTTAATATTGACTTTTATTAATTCAATAAAAGATTAGAAGTTGAAAGTCTTAGACAGAGCTGAGATCCAGCAATCATTTGTTATTGATTTTTAAATAAGTTTCTTACTTAATTACTTACTTCTACTGCATTCTTATATCGCCTGATGGTACCAAATCAATAAAAGCCACCTTCTTTTTATTGCAGTTTACCACTGTTGTGATCAGCTTACCTTGAACATTCTTCCTTTTCATAAATCTGATTATGCATTAACAAATCAAGATGATGAATTAGCTTGATCTTCATTGTTTCAGCATGGTGTATAAATTTAATGCCATTTCTCCACTTCCTATTTTTTTCATTCCATATTTGTTTTGCATTTTAAACTGGGCTAAAGCAGCTCATCAGTACCTGCTGTCTTTTGCGATTCCGGCCATCAAGCCATTGCCTGGATTTTTCATTTTCATCTCGATATAAATCAAAGTATGCGTTTTCAAGCAAGTCTTCACAGCTGCATCTGTCCTCTGGATCCATCTTCAAACAACTCTGAATTAAAATGGACTCAAAGAATCATTTGTTACAAGAATACATATTTTGAGAAAAATAAAACCTTCAAAGGAAGCAAAATATTGATAAGTACTATATATTCTACTGAAGGCAACAGATATTTCTCACCTTCATGAACATCAAAGCATGAGGGTTTAGGTTTGGAAATTTATCTTCTAGGGGTTCCTAAAAACAGATTTTTTTTGTAATGTGTAAGAGTTGATCAGAAATAAGAAAAACAACATTTTTCAGCAAACTCTTAATATTTATATAAAGGTACTTTAAAAATATTCATTAATGATGATTACCAAAAAAAAAGTTGACCAAAATCTGTTGCAATTTCCATAAACTCAATGTCAAATTCTAGATTAAAACACCTCAGGTGCAATACCTCAAATAAAAGCTAATTGTCTTCCCTTCCTTTCTCAAGAATGCTGAATCAAGCTGCAATGTAGTTCCACATAAATTGAAACTAATTGTAACAACTTAGTGATGCCAACCACCCAGGTCTGTGCAGCTCACTTCCAATAAAGAGAGTGTATTAATGAATAAACTGTCAGGCTGTCCAAAATCTATTTTAAAAGGTATGTCTAAAAATGTGGATGAATGTAATTCACTCTTAGATAGCCGAAGGGTAATTGCTAGCACATTAGCAAGTCAAGGGATGAAGTTGCATGGCTTTCCCCTTTTCATTATTTTATTTTCATTTTATTTCTCCATTCTCTATTTCTTCCTACAGTCACAGCTGATTTAGGTATATGATCCAGAAGGTCTCAGATTTAATTATCTGTTTTGAGTTGGATGATTGCAGCTGGAGTTCTACGAATAGCCTCACCAGGCCAGGGTTATAGAAGAGGACAATTAATTCCTCTTGTTGATCACAGTCCAACAACCTCAGATGGAAAATAGGAATTGAGATGGCTTTCAGATTTGATTGTGTGCTTAAGTTCCCATGACCAAATAGATGCTGGCACTCACGGCTAGACCTACAAGTAGGTGTCAGCTGTGGTCCAGTTAGCAGCACTCTTGCTTCTCAGTGACAAAACTGTGAGTTCAAATTCCTCTCCAAAAACTTAGCTCTAAAGTTAGGCTTCTACTCATGTATAGTACCAAAGGAATTTTCATTGTCAGAAATACAGTCTTTTGGATAGGACTTTGTACGAAATAAGGACCCTTAATAAATAATTTCTTTAATGATAGAATAAAACTCTTACTGAATTAGCTGGCACAGAATTAATTATTTCTCTCTTATAAAGCATAAACAATTCTAAGGAGTCAAGAACCAAGTCACAAAAGAGGTAAAGGTCACAAAGATTGTGGCCCCTGTATTGAGGTCACTGGGCTACACTGCATTCTTGAGCTGATATCAGAGAGTCTTCTGGTGGCCTGACCACTTTTATGTAGGCAAATGTTTGGAAAGACCTAGGAAGGGACTCTCAACATGAAGTAAACTAAATATCTGACCTTGAGGTAGATAATTGACGAGGGGTTAGGGTAGTGTTGAGCTTAAAAATGGTATCTCCAAACTAGTTAAGGGTTAATTGGACATCATAACAAGCAATTGAAGCAAAGTGGAAAAATACATAAAAATAGGCCTAGTGTAAAAAGTAGCCTGTTTTGGCTGGGAGGTAACTGCATAACCTTGATTGTCTGTGGGAACCATTCTTTTAGTAGTTAACATGGAATCACATGGAGATGTTTTCAACTTGTTTTCTACACAATGGAATGTCTGGAAAAGTACTGAAAGTACTACGAAATGGGGATGCAGCACATTACAAGAATAGTATTCACATCAAAGACTTTGTCCCACTTATGGGACTTTCCCCATCTAACCAGGGTCATGAGACCAGGGCCGTGGACCTTCACCATTGGACAGGGGTTCATGAGACCAGTGCCATGGAATCTGTGATAGAGCTCCAAATGCCAGGTGTCCAAAGTCCCCAGCATGAAGACAAGGCAGTGAGTCTCACTAGTTTGCATATGCATAAAATAGTTTAAGCTAATAGATTCACTTATTAGTTTGCATCCATACATACATATACAAAGTAGTTTAATCTAACAGATTTGCTCATTAGTTTGTATATATAGAATCACAGAATCCCTATAGTGTGGAAAGAGGCCATTCAGTCCATCAGTTCTACACCAACCCTCTGAAGAGCATTCCACCCAGGCCCAGACCCCACCCCTATCCCCGTTACGCTACATCTACCATGGCTGACCCACCAAACCTGCACATCCCTGGACATTATGGGCAATTTAGCATGGCCAATCCACCTAACATGCCTACCTTTGGACTGTGCGAGGAAATCAGAGCACCCAGTAGAAACCCATGCAGACAAGCAAGAATGTGAAACTCCACATGGAGAGTCACCCCAGGCCAGAATCAAGCCCAGTTCGCTGGAGCTATGAGGCACTGTGCCACCGTGTCACCTTAATGCTTCTGAGCCAGAGGGAAAAGACCTCATTGAGGCTCAACACAACCTGAGAACTGATTCTGTCAGCCATTATTGACCCTAGTTTATCTAATCCACTAGTTTAGAGCTTCCAATCACATTCTGGAATACCTCTTGCTTTACAAAAACAAACTAGTTTATAGTTTGTTTCGTCTGAACCTAGGAGAACCCAAAAAGGTGCAGAGGGAGAAACAAAAGACCAGTCAGCTTTTGATGCTCACTTCTTCCACATAGTCATTGATTCTAACTCAGCCGTTCAAATGCCTTCCACTGAGCACGTACAATTCCACCCCATCATTCCCAACAGCGAATCTGGCTGAAAAGAGAGACCTGCTGCTGAAACGTTTCATCTTACGCTCATCAGGACAAATGCAAGAATGCCAAATTTCAAACAACCACAACAATCTGTACCACAGCAGAAATTGCTTGGCAAGTAAACTTCAATTGGCCAAGACATTGCCATGGAGAAAACAATGGAGGTAACTGTAGGCGTCCCGTGCAATTCAAGAAAAGGACAATGCTTGAACCTATTTGTTTGTAGACAAGGGGTTCCTGTGAATGAATGCATGTTGTTGCTAACAATCCTGTTTGAACCACGTTATAAGAGCACTTGATTATCATAACTTCCTAATATTACAAGCAGCTACTTCACTTTGAAATATACTTTGCTGACAGTGAAATGCTTTGGGGCTTCACAAGGTTGCGCAAGTTGCAATGTAAACCCAAGTTCTTTCTAGCGTTGCCCTTATCTCATTCAATTAATGTCTCAATCCCCATGTTCAGCTAATTCTGACTATTTGTGTGTCCCTGATTTTAATCGCTCCATCAGCAGAAGCTGTCGAATGTCTAAGCTCTGGACTGCAACCTCCACCTAAAATAAAACATCTGTGCCTTTCTCTACTTCTTCATTTCCCTTATAAGACACTTCTTAAAAATGTACCTCTTTGGCCAAGCACTTGGTAATCCAACTCTATATCTCATCTGTGTTTCAGTATTAAATTTTGATTGATAATACTCTTGAAATGCTTTGGCAAGCTTTGTGGCATTAAAAGCATCAAATAAATCGAGTTGTTGTCAGGACCATGAATGCACTGACAAATGATCACAGATACATTTACATCACAGATGATATTAAGTAGATTAAGTTAATATATTAACTATATATTGAAAGACACGTATCTTTTTTAATCATTTTGATCGGACCTTAAAGACTTTAGATACTTTCCCATTAGATACTTTCAGCCTAAAAATACAGGTGGCCATCCTGTCATCTTGGGTACCTGTCTTTTGTTAATTGAGTTGAAGGGTTTGAACAAGAGATTTATGTATATAAACTGAAATAGGAGTCCATTGTAAAGGATGAGATTTCTGAATATTTGGAACTGTACGGTAAAACAGGGCAAAGTCAGCATGGTTTCATCAAGGGAAGGTCATGCCTGACAAATCTGCTAGAATTCTTTGAGGAAGTAACAAGCAGGGTAGACCAAGGCGAGCCAATGGATTTTATCTACCTAGACTTCAAGAAGGTCTTTGACAAGGTGCCACATTGGAGGCTGCTGAGTAAGATAAGAGCCTATGGTGTTAGAGGCAAGGTGCTAGCATGGAGAGAAGATTGGCTATCTGGCAGAAAGCAGAGTGTGGGGATAAAAGGGTCTTTCTCATGATGGCAGCCAGTGACAAGTGGTGTTCTGCAAGGGTCAGTGTTGGAACCACAACTTTTCACTCTATACATTAATGATCTAGATGAAGGAACTGTGGGCATTCTGGCTAAGTTTGCAGATGATACAAAGATAGGTAGAGGGACAGGTAGTATTGAGGAGGTGGGGAGGCTGCAGAAGGATTTGGACAGGTTAGGAGAGTGGGCAAAGAAGTGGCAGATGGAGTACAACGTGGAAAAGTGTGAGATCATGCACTTTGGTAAGAAGAATAAAAGCATGGACTATTTTCTAAATGGGGAGAAAATTCAGAAGTCTGAAGTGCAAAGAGACTTGGGAGTTCTAGTCCAGGATTCTCTCAAGGTAAACTCGCAGGTTGAGTCAGTAGTCAGAAAGGCAAATGCAATGTTGGCATTTATTTTGAGAGGACTTGAATATAAAAGCAGGGATGTACTACTGAGGCTTTATAAGGCTCTGGTCAGGCCACGCTTGGAGTATTGTGTGCAGTTTTGGGCCCCATATCTCAGGAAGGATGTACTGGCCCTGGAGCGGGCTCAGAGGAGGTTCACAAGAATGGTCCCAAGAATGGAAAGCTTAACATATGAGGAACGTTTGAGGATTCTGGGACAATACTCATTGGAGTTTAGAAGGATGACGGGGGATCTAATTGAAACTTACAGAATACTGAATGGCCTGGACAGAGTGGATGTTGGGAAGATGCTTCCATTGGTAGGAGAGACTAGGATCTGAGGGCACAGCCTTAGAGTAAAGGGAAGACCTTTTAGAACGGAGATAAGGAGAAACTTCTTCAGCCAGAGAGTAGTGAATCTATGGAATTCACTGCCACAGAAGGCTGTGGAGGCCAGGTCATTAAGTACATTTAAGACTGAGATAGATATGTTCTTGATTATCAAGGGGATCAAGGGTTACGGGGAGAAAGCAGGAGAATGGGGTTGAGGAACTTATCAGCCATGATTGAATGACGGAGCAGACTCAAAGGGCCAAATGACCTAATTTCTGCTCCTATGGTTATGGTCTTAAACTAGATTTTAAAAAAGTACCAAGAAATAGTTTGACT